AGCGGTCTAATTGTGTGAGAGATACTTTTGGTCCTCCAGTAGAACTGAGGCGTAGTTTAAATGCCTACCTGAGCGTTACCATTCCTAAGTGACCAGAGTTTGCTCATCGTCTCCTCAAATCATCTCAAACTTGTTTCTTCAGACGGACGGTAAGTCTTTCACAGACACCAGATTTCAATCCAAAAGTGCATCTTGGTTATTCGGTGGTACAGAAGATTTTGATCGTGGATGTGGAGACGACTGATCTGCACCAACTGTGTGACACTTTCAGTATTAGAGGAACTTTCTCACGCCTAGTTCGGTCTTTGTTATAAAGAATTAAGGCAGCAGAAGAGAATCCAGCAGGTTAAGTAGATCTAAAAACAACATGCCCAACAGATGTAAATTCTCACTCTGCTTCGTTCTGTTTCTCTGAAAAATAGGATGTGTGGAAAAAATAAGTGTCATTTGTTTTATACACCAGGTTATTGTTATTTTTCTGTCTAATTTAACAAAACCGAGCCTCATTGTGTCCGTCAGTTCAACATGAGAGGCTTGCTGCCTTTTTAAAGGTAAGAAAATTGACGTTCATGAAATGTGTGGTTCTCACATTAGTGGTTTATAGTTGACAATCTGACACTTCCAGAGGGATTTGAGACTTTTTAAACGTTGCTCTTTCAACTGTGTCAAAACTCTGCAGGTATTTTACCTGCATTTATTGTGGCGATGCTAAAAGCAACAATAAAAACATTCAAACATCCTGCAGCAATAGATTCCGTAGATATGAATGCACCTCTCTGCAGTTAGAGCCTTACAAACATGAATACTTCCCTTAAAAAAGCAAAAACAGAATGACTCGCTTATTATTTCTAGCAGTGCAATGACAGCATTTGATCATATTTTTAAATTCATAAATATTTATTGTACCTTTCATGGAATAAACAAAGAAAAACAGCAAAAATAAATAAAAATAAAATTACAACCAACGATAAATTGTTATTGTAAATTTGAAATGACCCATTTTGTTTCCCAAGCAGTTTATTTAAGGTGAATTTTCACCACACTAATAATCTGTAGTTGCATGACAGACAGACTATTAAGTTACTGCAGAATATAACCATCACTTAAAAGACACTGTTGTTCTTCCAGACTAGTATCAAGGTTCATGTGATCTCAGTTTTATCGACAATTGAGAAAAAAATACAAAAATTTAGTCTGATGTGCAACTGAAAGTTAATGGATCGTGGAAGTTTGTCGATGCAAAATGGACAAAATGGACTCCTGAATAGCCAACATCAACCAACAGCATGCAGGAAAAGCAATATGCATTTGGGAAATCGGCTTGATGATCTCACTTATGTGAATTAAAATGAAATCTTTTCATCTGTCATGTCAGAAAGGATGCTGAAGTCCATCCATTACGTTGTGCATTGCTGATGCTGAGAGATCAGCTCGCGCTCATTAGATGGTCAAATGGCACTTAAGATGTCCACAAGGGGCCACGCGTCATTAGAAATTCCCAACATAATACCTACTGTATTTCTAGGTATCGATCACGAAGAAGCCCAACATTAAGGCTGCCAGTCATCTAAATGCTTTAAAGACAGCCATTACTTTGCAGCGTTTGGAGAACTTGACTTCAAAAGGGTGAAAACCTCTGGTGTGGTGTAGCGCTTGGGAAAGAGGAGCAGGTGGAGTCGGTGGGAGAGAGAGAGTGAGAGAGAGAGAGAGAGGCAGAGAGAGAGAGAGAGAGACGGGGGAATGCGGGGACGGTGAGAGCATACAGAGATGGGAGATAAAGGAGTACAGAGGGGAAGGCCTTTGATCTCTGGCAGGAGTCAGCGATGAAGAAAAGAGACGGAGAGCAGCAGAGACGATTACAAACAAGGCATGCACTCAATTCCCAACAGCACCGCGAACGCAGGAGGAAGAGATAGGCAGGGGGGAGAAAGAAAAAGTTGAGCAGATTGGGAGAGACAGGACAGGGTCACAGAACGAGAGATGGAGAAGAAAAGCAAGGATGAAAATGAGGCAGAGGGAAACAGATAAGACCAGGATGTTAAAAGGATTTCAGTCCAGAGGCTGTTTGGGGAGTTCTATCAAACGCTATGCTAAAGCAATTAGTATTGAGCCCCTTCTTGGAAAGTGAAGCCAAACCACAGCGGCAGTCTGTAACACAGTTAGGGCGTAACAACCAAGTCGAGCAAACCCCACGGTCCCCATTAAACCTCAAGTTTTAATTGGCGTGTCAGGATGGTGCTGCTTTTCACAGCCCACAAGTGGGCACGGTTGAAGGAGTTGGCCCGGCGAGTGAGCACATCCCGCTTCAAGAGGAAATCCCCGAGACAATAAACAGCGCTGCTTTGGCTGATTAAAAGGGTCTGTGTCAAGTGGCATCAAAAGCTCAATACCGAATGCAAAAGTGAAATCTGATGACAACAGTTGCTAGCATAACGGCAGGGAAACGCTGTGTAGATCTTTTAGCATTGGAGCTACACAGCTGAGGCAAAGTTTGAAACTAGGGAGTAATAATAACTTTTATGATACAGTAAACACAGAGAAATCGAATTAAAAGTATGCAAACAAGAGGAGTCGAAGGAAAAAAACAAGCCACGAAATATGATGTTAGCTAGTCCCAGAAGGCTACGTGTTAGCTACCTTCAACAGCCGGAGCAAAAATCCCAAAACCTCAATTTTACAAAGAGGTTTTAAGGTCTTAGGGGTACACCTGGTGTCAAAACACACTGAATCGTTTCTGCTTTTTTGAGAAAAACTATAACATCTGATAATACTGAATGCTAACTACTAAGGTTTAAAGCTTACAATTTATGTGACAATCATTATTTCAGGGATGATGACGGTGAACCATAACAGAGTTAAGAGGACCTGAGTGAATTATGCTGCAAGAAGCAAATGAGGCAACATGTTGTTAGCTAACCCATAAAGCTAACTGTTAGCTAACACTGAGAATCTTTGTCATTTGTCACTTTAAGATAAAATCATGCAATAAGTCTGCAGGAAATGGTCAGTGCCTGCTGCAAATATTACTAACAAGTATCTGGGCAGTAAATACATGAAAACAGACAAAAGCAAGATTATCAAAACCTTAAACGTTTTGAGATACATTAAAAACCTGTCAGTTTGTTTTTGTTGTTGCTTTGTTTAGGATATTACCCAAAGAAATATGTGACTAACACAAAAGCAACAGAACAAAAATATTTTAAGCGCTACAATCCATGAACAATCAACTAGACTGCATTTCTCACTTACACTAAAGCATTTAAAATTTAAATGTAAAAGAAGAGCATTTGATCTGAACTTGTTTTCTTGTTTCGATTAGGGCCCAAAAAATAAATCCTGATTTACTGAACAGAAAATAAATGAAAATTTTCAGCCCTTGAAGAGAGGCTTTAGCTTCATTATGAACTTCCAACCCAACGTTGTCAGTTCACCAGCGTTGCTGCTGTTCATTATCAGCATTGGAATTGAGATTATATTCCATCTCTCTGATGCGTCCAGATAATCTCTGATTAATGTTCATCTTTGTCTGTAGTCCATCAAATACACTTAGAATATAATGTGACGTATTCAGACATTCAAGAAACTGAAGTAGGACAGAATAATTCTGATAAACATTAAGATTATAACCTGGCATGGCTAAAGTAAAACTAATACTGTACATCTGCTTTCCAGGCCAGTGTGTCATTACATTACATTATTTTATTAGTAGAGTCAGTCGGTGCTATAAGGAGGATACTGAAGAAACCGAAACTAACAAAAACAATAGGATGATTACTTTGTTCAAACGTGTAAAAAAATAACTGCATCAAACCTTTCAAATGGATCAGGAAGTGCAATTAGGAATTTTAAATATAAATAATAAAACTTGACGTTGCTTAGAGCACAAAACATAGATTTAGCTTCAATAGATCTGCCCTTATAAATTGGACTCATTGATGTGACACCCGATGTAGAATTTTATCCTGGAATGGTACAGCTTTGGAAAAAATTAAGAGCCCACTTAAAATGATCAATTTCTCTGATTTTACTATTTATAGGTAAATGCTGGAGTAAAATTAACATAGTTCTTTTATTCTATGAACTATTAACATCATGTCTCTGAAATTCCAAGCAAAAAGTTTAGATACATTTGCAGAAAATGAGAAATGGTCAAAATAACGAAAAAGATACAGCGCTTTCAAACACCAAATACTGCAAAGAAAACTAATTAATATTCATTTAGAAACAACAACACTAATGTTTTAACTCAGAAACCAACATTTTTTAGTGGAATAACCAGGAGGTTTCAGTGCACTGGGCTCTTCGTTTTTTTAAATTCCAGAGGTGTATATTTAAACTTAGTTGTATCTTCAGTATACCTATACATTAACTGTTAAGACAGATATCAGAGTCACAATGTGCTGCTTCCAGCCTCCTGTCTCCTCATTGTTCCCTCTTACAGCAGCCACACACTGCCTCCTTTGCCTTCAGTGTTTCTGCTCTCAGCCTGCAGAGCTCCAACAGCAGCATCTCTGAAGTAGCACATTTTTCACATCAGTCTGTTGTCATTTCGCATACATCTGTTAGCTTTAACCACAGACACCAGTATCTGGTGGCCGTTCTGATCCAACAGTTCCTGGGCTCTCTCTCTCTCTCTCTCTCTCTCTCTCTCTCTCTCTCTCTCTCTCTCTGTGTGTGTGTGAAAAACACTCCTCTCCAACTGCAGCGTGCCAAGTCCCAGGAGGCTGTCACTTTCAGGAGAAACACGTCTGGGGGGCCGACAGAACTACATCTAAAGTCACTCAAACCGCATGTGACTGCCATTCTGACATTTAGTCGAACAGCCGCTGAATGTCTAACCTCTTTCTGATTGTGCTTCTACTTTAATACACGACTCCCCAGAGAAGCGAGTCCCTGTCGCCAGAGAGGCAGCACGGCGAGAAAGGTGAGCGCCGCACACGTTTGAACTCACGCAACGTCCGTTTCATGAGGTTACGGCCTCAGTGGCGTCTTCTGCTTACCTTGGAAGATAGCGGCGTTCTGGATGATGAGGCGTTTGAGATGAGCGCTGACAACCTGCAGCCCTGACTCCATGTTGCTGCGTGCAGCCACCTGATACCGCTCCTCCATCTTCTTGGAACAGCAGGTCGGGCCTTTGGTTTGGCAAACCTGCAGATCTCCACCTGGCAGTGAACCAGCAGAGACAGGATGAGCAGAGGGAAGGAGCTGCAGAGCCACTCTTTGTTTTAATTTTTATTCCAAGACAGAAGCCTCTTACAGCTCAAACACACACAACAACAACAACAAAAAAAAGACTCGGCATCATCCTCTGCAAGCTAAATGTAGAAAATGTAATTTTCCACACATTCTGCACCCTTAATTAGTGTATTATTTCTGTGTACAGGCCGTGTTATCCGGCAAAGCCGAAATCAAAAAATAAATTGCGGTTTGAAAATGACTAATTTTGATGCACAGTCATGCAACACAGAAATGTTTTCCAGCTCGGTTTGGTCGACTGAAAACCTTTTCACCACTCAAGGACACACTTGATCAAAAAAAAGTCATTTTAGGCACAAGTGTCGGGAAGAGAAGATTTCAGTATGTTTGATACAGAAAATAGCCAAGCAAGGAAACGACATCGGTCCATCTGAATGTGGAAACTATTCACACAGATAAGTAATTAGACTCCTGGAGCTTTTATGAACGAAACAGATGTCTTACTAAAACGTAAGAGGGACTCTTCATTGGACTGATGTGGCTGTACGAAACCAGATAATCGGCACTTTCACAGAAGAGTAATTAACATGTTTGTGCACAGACATAATGACCAAACGGGTAGAAATGATCAGATAATAGGATCTAATGCATTCTGACAGATCTAAATCATTTCTTCTTTTGTCCTGTTGCTCTATGATCTCAACATTTCATTCAACTGGAAACAGAAAAATTTTTTTTATCCAAACCAGTTCAGGAAGTCAAAGTGGATGCGAGTCCCTGAACTTTTCTCCACAAGTCGAGGGGGTTGGCGACTGTCTCTGTCAAGCCGAAGACCAAACATGTAAGACCAACAGTACCTTGTAAAAGTAACCACAGCAACCGATTGTTTTCACATTTTATCACATCTCTGCCATAAACTACAAATGGTTCATTGGGATGTTTTTTGTGAGTTGGAATAAACACAACAGAAAGGTCAGAGACAAGTTGTGGAGAATCTTGGTGAGGCTGTGACACAATGTCACCAGTCTGAACTTCTTACACAATGCTGTGGCACAACTCTGAGCCTGCAAAGAAAGAAAAACACACCGACAACTGGAACAGGGAGGAAGAATGGATCTGTTCCACAGACCACAACACTAAACGTCTACAAACTGTTAAGACCTGAGCGTTTGTTATGTGATTATTTCAGTCACACACCATCATGAGGTTTCATATTCTAATGAATAGAAAAATCTTTTAAAATAGGAACTCATTCCAAGTTTCTGACCACTTACATCCAGTTGTGCTAATTGTAGCCTTTCACTGGCGACACTGACGATTCTGAGGAGTGCCGACTCTTTACCAGGCTAAGCAACATCTAAAATACCTCTGGTGGGTTCTGGTTTTTCCCAGTGAGACAGGCACCCAAACCGCATTAAATGACTTCGTTCTATCCTGTAAACAGAGGCTGTACTCCCAGCTCCATCCCTTCTCTAGGTTGAGTCTGGCCACCATTCAGAGGAAGTCCTGAGAAGGACTTCCTCTGAATTCATTTTTTCTGTCATGATCCTTATCCTCTCAGGTGAGGGCCAGACATTGGATGGTCCAATAAATCGAGATCTTTGCTTTTTGGCTCAGTTTTTTCTCCACCACAACAGACCAGAGCTGCACTTGCATTACTTCAGACGCAGCCCCAATCCGTCTGTTTGACTCCGGTTCCATCCTACCATCATCTGTGATACTTTAACTCCTCCTCATGAGGCAGAGACTATAATCCTCAACGCAGAGGGAGCAGTCCATTTATTTCCAGGTCAGATCAATGGTCTCAACCTTCCAGGAACCGACTGTTATCCACCTCTCAGCTACGAAGTGCTCCAATGTACGCTGGAGGCCGTGGTCTGGAGACACAAACAGAACCACGTCATCTTCAAAAAGCGAAGACGGGTCCCCATACCCGTCACCGTCCTCTCTGTCAATACAAACTGAGATCTTGTACAAACACTTAATCACTTAAGGAACTTGGCCCGCATTTTAGATCTTGACTCGAGTATGTTTGCGTGAGCAAGTTCCAAAACTTTAGCTTAGATGATTAGGAACAATTGGAAGAAAGATACGAGGTCATCTGCCGTTACTGTTTTAACAAGACTTACGGTGATTTCAAGTCTAGTGCTTATGTAAGATGTACTTATCTGGTAAGTCATCTGTGACTTTATAATCATGGCGCATCAGAACTAGGTTCAACTCAGGAGGAGCAAGGGAATAATGTGTTAAACAAAACACGTGTAATAAAACACATATTTATTACACAATCTGACAATAACAAAAACAGAACAAAATAGTCAATGTTTTCTTTTACTAGTCCTAAGTCAAGTCAGTCAAGTTCAAGAGTTTTTTTTTTCCTTTGATTTGTTTTCAGTTCAGTTCAGTTTTCAGATCTGAATGTTATATGGTAGCTACCGGGTTAGTGTTAATATGTGCAATGCCACCGATCAAGAGGATCAGAAGAAGATTCTTCTTTGGCATCGTAGTGGACACAATGTGAATCCGCTTTTTGGATCCTGACTCGCCGTTCTTCTCGCGTTGTCTCTCAACATAACAAACAGCCTGCATATGGCAGAAACATCTTTCACTACAGTGTCATATACAATTCTAGGTCACTTCAGTGAAAGTTTATCTCTTCACTCCGTGTAGATAAAATTATTTCCAGCTGCGATAAATAATTTTGTCTTTTAGCTCAACAAAACGTCACAACTTTATTTACTGAATTGGCATCAACATATTTTTTTCAGCACTCTTAAATCCCGTACAGTGGAATAAATTATTCACTGTCACTAAATATGTCATCAGCATTTCAAAAAGAAAAGGCGCAATATTAGGAGAATAGCCTTTGTGAGTTAGCCGGAAGCATTGCTAATTCACATACAAAATTTTGTTGTAGAGAATATACATTCTTACCCATAAACAAGTATCTCCGATTGTTTTTTTTTCTTTTAACATTGAAACTATAAAATTAAATTATAATATAACTTTTAATACATAACAGCAAAATATTAGCTTGTAACTAATCGATATCCAACGAAGCTAATTATAGCACAGAACTCACCGGAGATTCGCAGCAAGAAAAAAAAAATAATCTCAAAAACAACTTTCTTCCGGGTGCAGGTGCACAGGAATCAAAACTCAACCACTGATGAAAACTAATTCTTGAAAAATATTGAAAATAAAACTGTTTTGTCAATAAAATGACTACAAAAACCTTTTTTTTTGTTTTTTCCCCCCCCCCCCCTTCTTCTTCTTCTTCTTCTGATTGTTCTAGCACAATATCACTGTAGCTTTAGACTACTTTGAGACCATTTACTCCCACCTATCGGCAATGTGGTGTATTACAATATTCGTTAAAATAACATGGGTTACACTTAGATTGACCAACACGTTCTGGTCTCATTCACCGTCACCAAAACCTTTTGCACACTAACATCTGCGCAGGATATCGCCATATCCACCTTATCACGATTAGGTGGATACTAAACTATAATGGTCACAGAGAAAGTTGGAAGTCTTGGACTTAACTCAACTGACTTCTTTGCAGGATTTCCCAATGATACAATTATCTAATGGTTGTTTATGACAAAACATTATAGAATGCACATTTTTGAGCCTTTACTATAAGATCATCTTGGAGCAAAGCTGTTACCAAAGTTTGATGCTAGTCTGGGCCCACAAAAGGTAGAAAAAGTGATCAGTTCCTTCCGTTCCAATGGGGGATTCACTTCAGCTTTTGTCGTATGCAGTACCCAGGCAGTGCTGACGTCAGTGAAAGAAATGTTGCTGGATTTCAGAGTCGTGGGTTTTGGAGTGATAGTTTTACAACAATAATTTCTGTGACACCATGTTAAAGATGCTTTTTCAGAACGCAGGCAGCAAGTTCCCTTCTTTCACCTGTTGTGTACACCGACGCATACAAAGAGACGCAAGTAGGACTGAAGCACCCAGTTTGGAAAACAAAAAGGAGTTCCAGTGAAAATGCTTCCCTTCAGTGCCTCCCCCTTCATGCCATGCAGCTGCCTGCAGATCAGTGGAGGCCGCAGTAATAATGTGCCAAGCTGCGTTGACGAGTTGTTTGCAGGATTGGCTCTTGAGAGGCATCAGTGACAAGGGGTCTGATTGATGGTTCGGTAAACAAACGTCAGGGGAGTCTGCCAGCTTCCATGCGGGATGTGCAGGATAAAGAGACAGAAGAAGAAAGATTAATTTGGAAGTTGGATTCTGAGTAGGGGGATGGTGGGGCATGGCAGGTGCATGGGTGGGGGGTCTCAGAATGCGAATGCATCAGAAAATGCCTGATAGCTTGCATGTCAAAAAATAGGGAGGCGTCTTTTGTCAAGTTGGAGGGTTTATCTTAACGACAAAGGAGATTCTGTTGGTGTGACTCCCTGAGATCTTCAGATAATAGAAACAGTGCAGACAAAGAAAGTTCATCTACCTGGAGATGCAACAATGTGACAGACTGGATGATTAATAAGTGTGGAATCAAACAGAGGACAGCTTCTGTAAACTGCTGACAGCCATCGAGGTTTAGGGATGCAGCCTAATGAGCAAAAGAGGCAATAAAGCTGTCAAACGGCACCTTTTGTATGCAAACTGACGGGCTTAATATCTCAAATCAATACCAACAAAAGACTCCTGACAGATAAGATCAAGTTAATTTCAGACTGCGGGGTAGAATTATTAAACTTTTACGTGAGGTGAGCCTGGTCGCAGCGGAGAGGAGACGGGGATTTGGCAATTATTTCCAGCAAAACAGACAGATTCATCTGTGCGTTTTGTCGTGCTGCGGATGATAAATGTGTTTCATTACACAAGTTCCACAGCAGTGAGAGGGAAAGGGACAGGATTCCCACTGGAGTTTCACAAATAATAAAATCACACCGTCTAAATATAAAGCCTTTCTTGTGACTGACAGATCAGTTGGGAATAAGCTTCCTCC